TTATAAAATTACAGAACTGGAGAAAAATAAGGATGGAAGGTACTGTATGCTGAAGTCGTTCAGTGGCTTTACCCGGTGTTCAACCTGAGCCATTCTGGCTGTTTAGATCCTCTTTCACAAAATACCCTCACTTTGGGGGAAACTTCTAACCAGCCAAATGGTCAACCATTACTTGGAATTTACTCTTATCCTTGGATTACATTCTTCACCAAGCAGTACTCAGACTGCCAACACCCATACCAAGAATGCAAATAATCTTGCTGTGTATTTAACCATATACTTCAGCTAGCCTGCAAATAGATTCCTATCTGAATTGAAGAGCAAAATATGAAAGGTCTGGGCATGGGCCTTAGATACTTCGGACAATAAGGATGTGAATCACCAGTTCATCTAGCTGCACTTAGAAGCATTCATCTGACTTACCACTCTGCCAGTCCAGCTGGTCCAGGACAAGACGTGAATGACCAAAGCTTCATCACAGGTGAGGCTTGTGAGACAATGAGGGCTGATCACCCAAATAGCAGGTCAATGAGAGGTTAAGAATAGCCATGACGGATTCACATCATCCCTTGGCCTGTGTTGACCCGCACACATTGCTTATCATTTCTAACCTCAGTATCTTTGCTTGGGAACAAAATAGAATGATCATAATGATATAACACATGCAAGGTACTTGCCCATGTGTCTAATATTCAGTGATCACTCAATAATGATTTCTTTTTTTTTTTTTTTTTTTTTTTTCTTCTCCTTCTTCTTCTCCTTGTCCTTCTCCTCCTCCTCTTTTTTTTTTTGGTACCAGGGATCAAACTTTGAGACCTTGCGCTTGCCAGGCAGGCACTTATTCTCCTGAGCTAACTCCCTGGCTCTACTCAATGATAATTATAGGGAGAGAAATCAGTTTTCATAGTGTCCATTAGCTGTGCAGTCACACCTTTTTGTCATCATTTATTGGGACCTCACACATTCCGTACCAGGTATTGGGCTATGGAAGAGACTGCACATTTGGGAACTCTGTATCCCTCCCCCAAACTCACTGGAACCTGGTGGCAAAGACAGAATGTAAGGAAATAATTTTAAAATGGGATCATAGAGTTTAAACATTCTATCAGAGTTCAGTCAGACTCACATAGGGGATATAAAATTGCTTGTTTATCTGAGAGAAATATGGGAAGCTGGGGCAGCAAGCATTATAAATAAATGATCTAATTCTTGGAAAGGGAGAGTGCAGACATCACCAGAGAGGGCAGTGACACAGCTTACTGGAGAGAGAGCAAGGACAGGCTATGGGTACCATTGTGAGAAAGGGCTCCACAGGATGCAGATTCCAGCTTGGCTGCAGAGCTTGGTGAACAGTATTCATTCAATTGTTTAACAAATAATTCATGTTCCCAGTGGGCCTTCAACTCTGGGAGCCAGATGGCAGGTCTCACTCAGAACACTGAGGCTGCAGAGGGCCACAGACAGAGAAGAAGCAATGAGCACACAGTTCGTGGTGCATAGGGACACCGGTCTGCAGTGAGCGGTGTGAGTGCTTCCCACAGCAGGCGACAAACAAGTAAGAGCTGGACAGGTTGGGCAGGGAAGTATAGATGTGGACAGCCACGAAAGAGCCTGCAAGCCCAGATGATGTGGCTCACAGAGAGCAGTTCTTGGTATCCAGGCCAGTGATCTTTATCTGAATCTTCTGAGGAATGTTTAAACTATATTTACATCTGAGTTCTACTTTGGAGACTTTGATTCATTGAGGCTGGGATGCAGGTAACAGCAAGATAAATAGTAACATTAGCTAATAGGCTTTAGTACCCAATCTATGGCTAGCATTGAGCTGCATGTTGTAGCTGTGTTAATATATTTAATCCTCCCCCATTTGCCCATGAAATAGGCAGTCTTATTAGCCACATCTCATTAAAGATGAGAAATTGAGATGGAGAACTTAAGTGGATTAACTGGGATCAATGAGAAGAGGAGTAAGAGATGGGGGAGGAGGAAAGGGAGGGAGGAAAAGGTGATAAAAATGGGTCTGGAGAGAAAAATAGAGACAGAAAATTTGCAAATGGGAAGGAGGCCAAGGGACAGGAAAAGCAGGAAGGGGGATGGGGATGGGAGGGGTCAAAAGAAAAGAATCAAGATGCGTTATATACATGTGCTAATTTCTCACAATAGATATAATGATGTACTCTAAATATTTAATAATAAGACCAAAAAAAGTGTTTTAAAAAGCCAGCAAGTGATGGAAGTCAGAGTTGAGCCCTGGGAGTGTGGTTCTAGAGTTCTCAGAAGACGCTGGGGCACCAGAACCTGCAGAGTGGAAGTACACGTTGGGAGTGGGGAGGCAGGAGACAGAAGTGCTCAGTGGAGCGCCTGGAGGCAGGAGGCAGGGTGCTGTGATACTCACAAAACATCAAGACAACCTTGCTTTTATGCTCAGAAGTGGGGCATCAGAAGCCTTCAGTAGTCAAGAAGTTCAGGCCATTCAGCATAGTTGTATCATAAATTTGCCAACCATGTTCAGAGGCCTAGGTTTTTGATGCAGGAAAATGCTTGTTTAATTCACTTACTGATCTATTTAGAAATATATATTGAGCAACCACTCTGTGATAGGTCCTGCAAATATAGGAAGAAGTAAAGCTCAGCCTTTGCTGTTGCTGGGAAACCATATTTGTGGCAAAGAGGTCCTCGGGCAAATGCTGGCGCTGGGTGCTACGTGAGGGCAGACAAGGAAAGTACCACTTGCCTGGAGGGAGTCCACAAAGGTATCCAAGGTAGACAAATTGGGGCAAGGGAAGCTCTGGAAAACAGGAAGCCCAGGGCTGGAGTGGGACCTGGTGGAATGTTGGATCCAGGGCCTAGGCCTCAGTGACAGGCGGAAACAGGGAGAAGCAATCGATGAAAAAGCGAGGAAAGCTTCCACCTGAAAGTTGGCCTCCAAAGAGGAAGACAAAAGTGAGTTATGGTAAATAAAAACAAGCCTGAAGCCTGAAAGTAGAGCAGAAACTGTTGAAGTTGGGAATCACCCCTGGTACCCCAGCTGTGCTCAGTGCAGAAACACCTGTCCTGCTGTTCTAACTGCTGGAGCTGCCTTGCTAGCCTGTAGGCCAAGTGCAAAACGATCACAGGGTTCCCTTTGGTTTGTCAGTGGAAGCAATGGGGAACAGACACATTCAGAAACAAGGGAGAGCCAGAGCCAAAGCAGAAATGCTCTCTCTCTCCTCACCAGACCACCGCACCAGTACACCTGCACACAGCCAGGCTGCTCTAGGAGGCAGAAGAGCCA